TAATAATGATGAAGGCTGAACTAAAGAAGTGGCTATTATCAGTACTGAACTAAGGCAGTGTAAAGTAAAAACAGTCAAGAGAGAATGAGCAGGTAATGATTAATTCAACTTAGACCTGAAGTAGGGGAAAAGGGAAGACTCAAAGATGACACACAGGTTTTTAGATGATGAGTCATTCAGGAAGAGAGAGTGCAAGGAGAGCAGGTTTCGGGATCAAGATATTTTCAACTTTCAGTGTGGGGAGTTTAAAATACTGGTGGGGCATTAAAGTATAAATCCTCAGTAGGCTTTTGGATATACAGGTTAGGAGCAAGGAAAGAGCTTTAGGCTGGATTTTTAGACTGGGAAGTATTGATTTCTTGAGGTAAGTGAAGCCTAGAAAGTGTATGAAGTGAGAAGAGGGCCCCCAGGGTAGGATACTCCCAACATTTAAGAGTCTACTGTGGGAAGAGTGTGAAGGTGATTTTAACCAGCAGTGTGTTGAGGGTTGAGGGGCAGAATGTGTGTATGGGGGGGATATGTGGCACAGATGATTGGTAGAGTCGGGGTATGGAAGACGTGTTAATTCTGCAGCTGCTGTGTAACGGACCACTGTGTGCAGTGCTCTGAATTCATTGATCTGCAGTTGTTTGCCCTTCCACTTTCTAGGTACACAACTATTCAGGATGTATCTTGTGAAAGGAGAAGTTGTAGAACCGTGCTTATATGCCAGGCATTCATGATTCTTATTTCTTAAATAAGATAAAAGTATTGATATGGGAATTATGCAGCATATCTGACATTTTCGTTGAATTTTTTCTTACCCCATAGTTAAAGAAGTTACCATTTGCCTCTTTTTCTGTGTGCCTGTCCATGCTAAACTTCTCTGGGTCTCATATTCGTGCTTATATGCCAGGCATTCATGATTCTTATTTCTTAAATAAGATAAAAGTATTGATATGGGAATTATGCAGCATATCTGATATTTTCGTTGAATTTTTTCTTACCCCATAGTTAAAGAGGTTACCATTTGCCTCTTTTTCTGTGTGCCTGTCCATGCTAAACTTCTCTGGGTCTCATATTCTTTATCTGTGAAATAAGGAGTTTAGATGAGATGATTTTCTGCATGATCTTATGAAGTACAATAAATGGGATAATTAATATAAGCTAAAATATAACTTGAGCTAGCTTTCATATTGTAATGGCAGGTTCTCTTGCTATGATAGAACTTGAGATCCAATTAAAAACAACAGATTTTTCTTGTTATTTTCTTTCCACACTTGCTTAAAACTGGCTATTTAATTAAAAAAAAAATCCTTTGGGGGTTTGTAGCTATAGTTTATAACCACTAGGGGTCAGGCTCTTCATGAACAGTTAATGCCCTCTAAAAGTTATCTGTGCGCACTATTTTGCCTCTAGTACTGTTGGATTTCATTAAGCTGTTTCTCTAAACCCAGCTAAACATGCTCTGTGGTATTATTTTTATTTTATTATTGATAATTATTTTAATTGAAATGAATACAGTTTTGAGAATTTTTTTGACATTCTGAAGTCTTACATAATTGCAGTAGGTAATCATTGGTATGTGGAGTGCCCAGTTGGGAGCATTGTGGTGTCTTTTTAACCCCCAAAGTGTCGTTTCATACTCCACATTTCAAATATTGAAAGAATACATGTCTCCTATACATCTTCATAGATAAGGGAATAGTTCTATCCCTATTGTTCCCAAACAGATTTTTAAAGATTTCTTTCAGATTATTTCTAAATGGTATTTTTTTAAAAAGGTACTCTTTCTATAGTAAACTATTAGAATTGGATAATGGTTTTGGGCTAAGGGGGGAGATATTATAAATGGGTCAAATAACAACATATGAATGAGTCACAGGAAACCATGTATCAGGAGAGTCCCCAAATTTTCCCTTCTTTTAATTAGTATAAGGGCTAGAATAACTTAATATGGATGTGATTAATAAATAATATATAATTTGTATTAATTTTGGACCTAGTTTTGAATGATTATCATTTCCATGAAATTAAAAAATTTGTTCATAATTAATAGTGAATTTTTGCATTTCAAAAAAATTTTAGAAAAGTTATTTCCCTTCTTTAAAAGAAGTTTACCTAAGTGCTTTACATTTTTTTATTTACTGAAATATCTATTCTGCAGATACTCTTTTAATTTGTATGGGAGTATAGAATTGGGTGTATGATCCAGAATAATGACAATTAAGTCTCACTAATTAGTTAAATTGATTTTTACAATAAATGCCTTGTGAAGATGTTCTGTTT